ACTTCAGGTGTAACGAAGCTGCCATCTCATGATGGGAGTTCACAAACAAATGATAATTATCGAATTAATTTGGTTAACAAAATTAGTTTTCAAAAATGGTATTCTCAAGTAAAAATCATTATTGACAATGATTATGAATTAGAAACCATTGCCCTTATTGATATAGGTGCAGATGTTAACTGTATTCAAGAAGGAGTTATGCCAACTAAATATTATCAAAAAACAATTGAGAAACTTAGCTCAGCAAATGGTAGTAAAATAAAAGTTAAATACAAGTTGTCAAATGTACATATTTGCCAAGACAATGTATGTTTTAAAACATCATTTGTCCTAGTACAAAATATGACTAGTGAAGTTATCCTTGGGTTGCCATTCGTATATCTTCTGTATCCTTTTACGACTGACACTAAGGGTGTAACCACTAAGCCATTTGGTCACTCAGTAACTTTCCAGTTTCTTAGTAAACCAGAAACTAAAACTTTAAGACAACTTAAAGACCACTCAGTCTCTAAGTATCTTAATTTAATTAATCAAAAAACTCAACAAGTAAAATTTCTCAAAGAAGAAATTCACCATAAAATAATTCAAGAACAATTAACAAACCTAGTTTTACTTGAACAAATTGAACAATTTAGATTAAAAATGGAAGCAGAAGTATGTTCTAACATTCCTACAGCTTTTTGGCATAGGAAAAAAACATATGGTAAAACTTCCATATCTAAAAGGATTTAGTGAAACAGAAATTCCTACTAAATTCAGACCCATTCAAATGAACCATGAAGTAATGGAAATATGCAAAAAAAAAGATTTCTGAATTACTCAAAAATGGTATCATCAAGAAGAGCAAATCCCCTTGGTCATGTCTAGCTTTCTATGTCATCAAAAATGCGGAATTAGAGTGAAAGTCATTTACCAAGAAAGAGGAGTACCAAGATTAGTCATTAATTATAAACCCCTAAATTCTGTATTGGAATGGATTAGGTACCTAATTCCAAACAAACATGATTTAATTAAAAGACTTAATAATTCAGTAATTTTTTTAAAATTTGATTTGAAAAGTGGTTACTGGCAAATCCTTATATCTCTAGAAAATAGATATAAGACTGCATTTACAACACCTTTTGATCATTACGAATGGAATGTAACGCATTTTGGATTAAAAAATGCACCTAGTGAATTTCAAAATATAATGAATGAAATTTTTAATTAAATTAGTCATTTTTCTATAGTATATATAAATGACATTCTCATCTTCTCCAGATCTATAGAAGAACACTAGAAGCACCTATATGCTTTCCTTGAGATAGTTAGCCACAATGGTCTAGTCATCTCAGCTAGTAAGATTAAGTTGTTCCAAACCTCGGTAAGGTTCTTAGGATACAACATTCAGCAATCCACTATTGTTCCCATCAGTCGTTTTATCCAATTTGTAGATAAGTTCCCTGATGAGATCACTGACAAAATCCAATTACAAAGGTTCTTAGGTTCCCTAAATTATGTTTCTGACTTTTATCAGAAAGAGCCTAGTAAAGTCATTTATCATTCCTTATATATTTTAAAGTTCATTTCTCTCAAAGAATGGGGATCTCATCCTTCTTTGCTCAGAGACCTGGAGAGATATGAAAAGAAGTTTAGCTACTATGATTACATTGATTCATGGTATAAACTTCTCCTTTATCAGGATGAGTCATTAACTGACTCCTGGTTCATTCAGTTCGATAAGAATTTCAAGAGCCAAATTCCTGCTTGGTTCGCACAATGGTGGCATATTCATGGCCCCATACCTGAAATTCTTCCCCTGGACCTACAAGATCAGGTCACTTATTTTGCTTTTGTTTATAAACCTTGTTTTTATGACAAAACTCATTTCACGAGTCTGTTAATTTTCTTTACCCAATATAAACTTCCTTGAATCTATAAGTGGTCTTGGAAAATTTGTTCTAACTTTGTTTGCAGGCAATCCAGTGTGAAATGGTAGCCCAGGTTCCAACATGACCGCATTATTACCCAAGTCAAAAAGGAGCTCCTAGTAAAGGTACCAGTACCAGTTACAGTATCAACTGTTGCAGCTACCCTTCCACCAGTAACTCCACCACCATCAAAGGCTCTGTTGGCCCTTAGGATTTCTACACTAGAGAAAACCTGGGCTACAGCCCAGCTTCAAGCAGCAAAATAAAAGCAAAAGAAGTCCTCATCTAAGGACTCCAGTAAGCCCTCAGAATCCTCGAAGCAGTCAAAACAGAAGTCCTCTGAGCTCATTGTCTTAGCCCAGAAACTTCTCCAACAGGCAGCAAGTTGTAGTGGTTCATCCTCACCGACATCATCTGCAGGGTCCATTAACCCATTTGTAGATTTGAGCCAAGATAGTCAAGATCCATTTGCCGGAATTGATGACCTCACTCCTGACCTAGCTTCTCCTTGATTCTTCTCCTTATGCGTGATAGCTTCAATAACTACTTTTTTCATCTAAAGAAAGAAAAACTATCTATTACGTATAATGTTTAGATATCCTTGATTTAATATATCATCCTAGAATTTAGAGATACACAAGATAATAGATAAAATTTCTTTTTTAATAGTACTATAATTTACTTGGGCTTTATTCCAGATACTAGAGTGGAAACGAACTATTTGCTCTGGGGAGTCTGGAGTGAGTTTTTGAAGCAGAATACCACCGTAGCCAATGTCGCAGGCATCTGTTTGGATGATTTTAAAGGAATCAACCGAACGAATACAAAATGCGGGGCAAAGTTTTAATGAACTGCTTGACTTGTTTGACAATGGATGTATGAGCAGAAGTCCAAGGAGGAGGATTTTAAACTAATATCCAAGCTCCTAAGCAAATCCTCTGGAAGGATATAACGCCTCAGAATCTTGGATAGTAAAAAATAAAAATCATGATAAAGACAGTGAAAACACCACCACAAATGTTGAAAGCATCTACCAATTATCGGATGGCTTAGTAAGAATCTCCTTTGATTCTGCAAGATCTAGTAGATCAAGCAGACCTATTCAAATTAATGAAGGTAGAAAATCTGAATCTAGTTCTAGACTCTCTAAAAGAGATCAAGAAATAGATAAAGAAGTATACTCTGATGTGGAGTATAACACGACTTACTAATTTGTGAAGATGATGAAGAAGAAGACTTCACCCCTTCTCCTACTGCTAGTGACCTCCAGAGTAATGCCCCAGTAAACCACCAGTTACTCATGATTAGGAAAGATAGACTTTGAATCATCTGAAAATGAATCTAAAAAACATAAGTACTTTAAAAGATTCAGCTCACAACAACAGATTGAAATAAGAAGACAATGGGTTAAGCTAATGTATAAACTAAAAGTTGAAATCCTACTCTTTGATTATCTTGATAACTTCCATAAAGAAGTTAATGTTGTTACACAATACAAGTCAAAAACAGAAAAATCCACTATATCATCTAGTCACCCTCCAGTGGAAACCATAGTTATTGACCATGGTGGATCTGTAGTTGCTTCATCTTTCAAACTCTCTACTGATGAGTCTGAGAAAAAAATTGTTGAACAAAACAATTTTACTAACCAAAGCTTAATTACTATTAGCTAACAGTTAGAAAGCTTAATTACTATTAGCTAACAGTTAGATAAAATTAAAAATAAAATTGATGAAATCAAACCAGGTATTAAATTAGAACAACCTCTAATTCACCTACCTGAAGATCGCAGTAAATTAGGAGTTAAAGATAGTCAAAACATTGAGAAAATTGAAAAGCTTATTTCTAAAATGAAGCTAAAAGAACCATCTTCCAAAAAGAAAGAAGGTCCTTATCAAGTTACTGTCATTAATCAAACTTCTAATGATTCGTCAGATGATTGCTCAGTAAGTTCATCTGATTCTGAGATTAATAAATTAGAAGAACAGTTTGGTAACCAACAGATTAACAAATTGACTTTTTCAAATGTTAATCCAGTCAGTATTAGTAAAAATTGGTATACCAGACCTACATCACCTGATCTTCAATTTAAAGAAAAAAATATTAGTAATCAGTTTTATGTTCAGTCTAACAAACTCTATGAATGGAACATAGATGGTTTAAGTGAACAAGAAATCCTGAATAAAATCAACCACATGTCCATGGTGATTAACAACTATGTCACAAACCTTAACCAATCTGAACCTAAGATAATTGACCTTATTACCTCAGGATTCACAAGCATGTTGCGTAGTTGGTAGGACAATTATCTCACTCAGGAAATTAGAGATGAGATTAAGTATGCTATTGTCAAGGATGATGATGGTATACCTGTATTTGACCAAGCTCTTGGCCAAGGTCGACCTGATGGTATCAATACTCTTATTTATACCATTATTAAACATTTTGTTGGTACACCTGGTTCCATTAAAGCAAGGATCCATGACCAGCTTAGTAACCTTAGGTGCCCAACACTAAGTGATTTTAGATGGTACAAGGATGTATTCATCTCTAGACTCATGCTTCGTCCAGATTGCAATATATATATATATATATATATAGTTAATTACAAGTTTGAGTCATGTAGCAATTAAATCCCTTTGGTTTCAAATTCAACAAATTACTCCCCAAACTTTAAACATTAATCCAATTAAATCTTGCCATCCAATTTTTATCGTCTAAATTGATGAAAATTAATGACTAAAACTAACATTATCTAAAATTCTTTCAAAAGACAAGATTACCCTTTTCTCTTTTTTTGGGTCAATATTTTTAAAATATTTTCCTAATCAGTGTTAAAAAAAATTGAAAAATTATCAACACTCCCTCAACCACAGCCAAACCAACGGAACCCCTTCCCTTCTCAGACCAACAATGCCTGTCGCCCCAACCCCTCTGCCGACACCGAACTCTCTAGTCCCCAAAACCTTCCTTCTCCGACAAAATCTATCTCCTTACTCGATCGAGAACACCATCATTCCTCAGCATAAACTGTACTCCCCACCCAAACACCCCTGAAAAAGTAGGAAACAAGCAAAACCATACCCCTCACTATTGCAACTTCCCAGCCTTGGCAGTCACAAACACCACCATCATCCCATCCCCGTTAAGGCTTGTTTCAATCAATTCGTTTGCTTCTAATTTCTGGATTTTTTCTTTTGATTTTGTCCTATTTAACCACAAATTTGATTCCGAAATCGATGCATCGTCACCCCTTCACTATTACCATTTCTCCCTTAAAAACGAATATTTCCTTCCTTACCAATATTGTGTTTCAGTCAAATGCAAATGATCAATTTTGAGGTTTTACGAATTGGGGTTTTGGAAAGTTGTGGTTCAGGATTTGGGAAATGAGGTTGAGGTAGATTTAGCAGCCATGGTGATCTTATAGCAGCCATGGTAATTTTATAGCAGCCATGGCTATAGATTGTGGTGGCTTTTAGGTTGTCTCTGTTATGCCTATGTGGTGGTTTTTGGGTTACTAATTGCCGATTGTCGATTGACGTTGTGTTGGAGGTTATCACTTGGTGCTGTGTCAGTGATACCGCTGGTTGGACATACAAAGGGAATGGATGGGTGTTGTTGGGGACTTAGAGTTGGAGTTGGAGTTGCGTACAAAGTGTGGGAGGAAAGACAACAAATTATTAAAAGACAGTTTTGTAATTTTCATTTTCCATGCATCTATTGGTTAGATTAGTAAATTGAAAACTTTAAGGGGCCTAATTGTCGAATTTGAAACAAAAGGGATTTAATTGCAAAATGACCCAAACTTGAAGGTGGTAAATTGTAATTAACCCATATATATAACAACCCAAATGGTGTTTGACAAGTATTCATGCACCTCTGTCTAGCGAGAAGAAAGGTGGAGGAGAAAGGAAAAAGAGAAGAGGATATTAAGTGTGCTGCATGATACTCGGGGTATGGGAAAATTGAGAAACTCATGCATAAAGCAAGATAGAGAGAACCACTTATTAAGCCGTACTAACAGTTTGGATGATCGAGTCTGACAACATTTATACCAAATTTCTTAGTAAATTTTTCCACTAACATTTCTTTTTCAAATTTTAACTATCAATGAAGGAGCAACACATTCCAAAAATAAAAAAAGTTAAAGACATTATTAATAGAGAAAAATATATCAAAATTCGGTTTGTAACTCTCAAAAAATGTGAAAGATTATATCTTATGTGCTGATGTTAGAAACTAAGAGGAGAAACTCATTTTAACAAAAAGGCAAATAGTAAAAGGTATCCCAAAAAGGCATATGTAAACTGACCTTTCACCACCCACTACACAAACAGCGCAAGTACCCGTTGGTGCAGACTCATCTTCATAGTAGTGGACCTGAGTATTACAATGTGTCAATTACATAAGGAATTTTGCTATAGCACTAATTATTCTAAAAATGTGAAATTAGGATTTGAAAACCACAAATGAATGGGACAAGAAAAAGAACAAAAGAATGACCTTTTTTAACAAAGAGAAAGAAACAAAGAAAGGAAAGAACAACGACGATGATGATGAAGATGCAATGAACACGTAGGATGATGATGATGTCAGCAAAGATCTCATGTTTAAATTGACAAAAATAAAAAAAAAGAATAAAAAACTTACATTAACACCAGCCGCTGTTGAGTTTTTCTTCATCTCATCCCCAAACTTGTCCTTTCCAATACAACCCATGTAACTGGTTGCACCAGGGACTTGAAGCATCCACTGGAAACAAAAAATGCAAGGCACTACGCTGTAATTATTAGATAACTTCGTTGGATTGCAAGGAGCTATAACAAAAATTCATACCTGAGCTACTCTAATCGAATTTTGAGTAGCACCTACAACACATAATTATCATTGGTCAATTATATTCACGTATGATTTTACAAGAGCCATTGTGCAGACAAAACATTTATACAATATCAAAATTACCTCCAGCAATGTACTCAACATTGTACTTCGATGCTATTTCTTCATACCTAAGAAATGAATTGCAAAATATCGGCTCAATAATTGATGGAGCAATCAATTCAAAGCCAACACAGAATATTACATGCTATTCCATTAAATATATCTTAAAAGCATGAATTTGATAACCAGATATGCGTATCATTTTTCTCCTCTTTGTTGAATAGTATTTATTTTAGGGTCACTCTGGATGAGTTCAAGAATTCAACACAACCAAAAGTTCTCAGATGATATTTAAATTCTGAACATCTAACTACAATGTTAGCAATTTCTAACCTATTCCCCATCTACATAGTGGTATGCATTACCTGAACTATGACCTAGAGGCCCAATTCCTATTTTCTCCATTCTTAAAAGCTTCATGGTTATTCATCTTCTGATAGATCATACCCCTAAATAGTTCCACCAACGCTCATCAACTTTTTCGATTGAAATTCAGAATTAACAATTGTTTGCTTTTTTTACTATTTGGAGCAGCATATCCAAGCAACAACAAAATTTCTAGCAGCCATACTACATAAAAACAAACTAGCAATTACTGTCCATGAGTATTTTTCATTCTCATTCTTAATTGCTCCATATGAAAACTTTCACATGACAAATTAATTTTTAAAGGAACATTGCCATCTTGTTTAATCTGAAAATGTTCATGAAAGATGATAACCTCTTGAGTCTTACACTCCACATATCACTCAGGTATGGTTTACACAAACTAAAATCATCAGGTACAATATTGTCATTTCTTCATGACTCTGTAATTGACAAGTTTTGATTTAGCAAAATTATTCCATACAAACCAAAATCAACATCCAAATCACAAGTTGTTGACATCTCTAGAAAGTACCTACAATATTATATGATTATGCCAATGAGAGCCATTCAGCTGTTGATATATTGTGTTTTGGTACTATGTGAAACAAAGTAATACAGTTTAGGAAACAACAACATCAAATAGGATGTGATAGGAGCCAAGCTTACAAGCCATAGAGTCAGTGTACTACACTAACGTCTATCAATATATCAGTCAGAACTATATCCAAAAGAAGTTACTTACATAGGTAAATGCTTTTCCTCTGCAAGAATTGCATTGTTCAACGTGAGATCAAATCTGTTATGCCAAAACAAAACAGATTGCATTTCAAACTTATGAAATTCACTTGTAAATTGTATCACAGAATGAAGTGAATCTTACTCCTACTCATAATAAGATTCAACAACTTTACGGGATACATACAGACTATAGAGCTTGAAAGAGTATCAAACATTCCATAAACCAATGAGCTTGTAAGCACATAGCTGCCAATGATGACAAAGTGGGGACGAAAACCAAATTGAAAACCCAGGATATTTAAATAGATGTACATAGAGGTGGCAAACGGATGGGTTGGGTAAAATTGGATTGGGCTAAAATAAATTCAATCTATTTTTCACTCACATAGTAAATAGGTTATAATGGGTTAGGTTTATAACGGATTGAGTTAAACCGATTAACCTATAAAATAATTAAAATTCTTAATAGACACATTAGTACACCAAAACACACACACACACATATTAGTAGTACACTAAAATACAAGCATATACACACACACTAATACACCAAAACGAGCACAAACAAATATACTAAAAATCTACACATTACTACACCAAAAATACACACGCATATACTAACACAAAAACTAAAACACATTTAATAAAAAAAAATACACAAATAATGGGTCGGGATCGATTGTGGGCTATGGATTAGTCTGTGAAACGTGGGTCATGGGTCAACCCATAGATTGTGGATCAACCCAAGAGTTGACCCATGGGTTTTGGGTCAACTCGTGGGTCAACTCATGGGTCATGGGTGGTGTATTAGTGTGTATATTTTAGTATATTAGTGTATATGTGCACATTTTTTGGTGTAATAGTGTGTATATTTTTTGGTATATTAATATATTTATTTAATTTTATTACTTGTGTTATTTAATAAAAAGATAAATATTCAACCCAATAGGTACCCATTTGTAATCCATATTAACCTGCTTAATTAAAATGAATCATACCCAACCCACACTCCCTGAAATTTGTCACTTAATCACTCAGACCCCTGACATTTGAAGTATTATACTCAGACTCCCCAAAGTTTGTACGCGTAACACTTAGAACCCTATTATAAATATATCCATTAATAAATTACATTCAGACTCCCTAAAATTTGTAAACATATATTACTTACACCCTTTAAGTTTAAAATATTATATTTAGACCAAAAATACTTCAATTAAAGATAGAATATTAAATATTTTAAATTTTACAATTAAAATTCATGTTCTATTGTATCATTTATATTGAAATAAAATAAAAAATAAAAATTCCAATTTTTTAAAAAAAATCATAATTAGTATACAATTTTATTGTCCATTGCCATTTAATTTGGTCATTTAAACGACCAAATTAAAATATCAAATTATCTTAATTGAAGCTAAAAGATATTGTGTTCATTACAATTTGACCTCTTGTTTAATTTTTTAGTTTTATTCTAATAGATATTATAATTGTATACTAACTATATTTTTTTAAAAAAATTAGATTTTTATTTTTGATTTTATCTAAATAAATGACATAATAGAACATGAATTTTGGTTGTAAAATTCATGTTCTATTAAGAATGACTTAGACCCCTTATTTAATTTTTTTTTTTATTCCAATAAATAGTATAATTGTATACTAATTATAAATTTTTCAGAAAAAGTTGAATTGTTATTTTTTATTTTATTTCAATAAATGATACAATAGAATATAAATTTTGGTTATAAAATTTAAAATATTTAATATTCTATCTTTGATTCGAATTTTTTTTTTAAGTATAACATTTTAAATTTAAGAAGTCTAAGTATTATATGCGTACAAACTTCAAGGGAGTTTAAATATAATTTATTGACGGATATATTTAGAGCACGGGTCTAAATATTATGTGTACAAATATTAGGGGGTCTATGTATAATATTTCAAATACGGGGTTTATGTATAATATTTCGAAGGAAGCGACAATCCTCAGGAAGTCCGGTGTAATTCTCCCAATTAATTAATATAAGTATCCAATCTATTATTTATGGACGGTTGAACGGATTAAAGGTAATGAGATAAAATTGCCACCAATGTACATACTGATCAACATTAAGATACATGCATCAAACATGGAGGATATCTTCTTCTTTAAACCTAAGATCTGCAAAAACAGCTCGAACTACAAAATATAAAAAAAAAAATTACATATCGTCACTTAAATATCTAGACGGATAGATTCTCCTACAACAGTTATACATAACCGTGGAAATATTTATGCATTGGAGCAGAAACCTAGATCAGAGATCGAGATCAGAGAAAGAGGAGTTCGAAACCGTACTTGTCCAAGAGTTGTTGATCCACAACAGCTGAGATGTCCAAGAGTGGATTGCCCATTCCCAACAGAATTCCATCGTACTCCATTGCCGGAGGTTGAATCGTCGAAGCAAAAGCTAGAGCAGACGAAAATGATCGGACAATCTAGCTTATGGAGACGAAGATACACATATATAGGTAGAGGCAGCGGTGAGTTGGGGTTGGCGAGGGAAGTGGGTAGGCTACCAGATTTAGATCTGGAGGAGGAGAGAATAGTACTTTCATGCTTGTGGTTTAATTTATGGTTGAGAGCAATTGCACTTTGCACCCCCCGAAGATTAGATAATTTTCACTTTAATCTCTCAAAGATTATATTTCTTATATTATACTCTTAATATATTGAAAGTATTATAGTATGATTGAAAGTATTATAGTATGTTGTCAATGTCAATGCGATAATTTTTATAGAATAAGTAGTTAAAACTAATTCAAGAATACTTACCCAAAAGCAAAATTAATTGAATAGTCGTATTATAACAATTTCAATATATTGAAGATATAATATAGAAAATATAAGAATTTTGTGCGTACAAATTATAATTCTCCGTAACTATTTTATCGCGAAGTCAGTGTCGCGTCAGTCTCTCACCAACCACGCCTCGAAAAACATGTGGGGTTTACCTTCTATTTTATGAGGTTTCAAAACCTACCACCAACTCAAAAATAAAATATATTATTGATATAAATAATAAATAAGTCAAATTAGTGTTTAATAGGAATAGAAAAGTTTACCATTTTACTTTTTAATTTCTTATCTTGTATTATATTAATTATTTTCAACCTAAAAAACTCAATAATAATATGAATATTTACATAAAACCAAAATTATGTGAGCTAAAATATAACATGACTTAAAATAACACGACACGACTTAACTTAATTGATACCCTTAATTTAATTTTGGATTACGCTCTATTTCTTAATTTTTTTGGGTCATTAATTTTAAGTAATATCCAACATATATTGATGGAAGAACAACTCCAAAGTAAACTTTAATGCTATGTTTGGTATAATGAAAAAATAGAAAGATGGAAAGTTAGAAGGATAGAAAATAAGATGGATAAATAAAACATCATGTTTAGTGAGAAGGGAAAATAGAAAGGATGGAGAAGTGGATGGATCAACTTTTTTTCTAACTCACCAAAATCAATTCCTCCAAAATCAGAAGGAAAGTTAATTATTTGTGTTGAGATGTATGTTATTTGTCTACATATTGTGTATACATTAATTTCATATAAAAATATAATGATAAAATATGTATTTATATATATATTTTTTTAATAAAAATTAAAATT